ATCGTCCACTCAATCCTGGCATGGGTTACTAATCCTCGAACTCGCATGCATTCTGAGTTAACGAGATTTCCACGAAGAAGTTCTTGTCGCATGGTGGCAAATTAAGCGACATCCTTCTCGTTGTAGTCTATCCGATGTTGTAACGCGTAGGAATAGACTGCAAGAGGAACTGTCAAGGCGTGGATCCCTTTTCGAAGGAATAAATCCTTAGATGACTGTAAGGGAAAGATCTCGACTCGGGATAGGAATGACGTGAGTCGGCATGTATCCTGCTGGCATGAGCGGGTAACGTTGCTCGAATGGGTACAACAGCTGCCATTAAGGCTACGGTGCAGCAAGAAGGGAATGGTCGAAACATGGCCGAAATGTTAGGGAAGACAGGTATTTTGGCAAAGGGAGGACCGCCGGTAGTGTTGCAACGATCGTCGAAGATTAGAGTTATGGAAACAACACGTCGTGGCATAGCTCCAAGGGTGTCGATAAGGAGCGTGGAACAGGAACAGGATGCTTTCGTCGTATTCGTCTCGTTTCGACGGCGGTGATGTTGCGGTTCGTCGAATTCTCCACAGTTCCACTTAGTCCATTCGGGGAACGGAATAGGGTCTAAGGAGGAAACGATCGTATCATGTGCGGAGATAGATCCTGGTCTGTTTGGAAGAAAATCCACGCAGCGCGTCGACTCCATAACTGAGAAGGAAAATGTGGCGATGACGGTGCCACTTGTAAGGTGAAGACAAAATGGAATGAAAGGTCGTCTCTGAGCAATTGCGTGACGAGGGTTATAATGGTCTGTCTCCTCGTATGATCTTGTCAGCTATCTTCGTCAACTTCGATGCAGCTCACTCGGGTCAACATGTTCGAAATTCGAAATCCGGCATTGGAAATTCCATTTCAACAGTGTCTCCAACATCCAACCATCAGAACGAAATGTTGTTAGCATAGCGGCTCCGATGTTATTCTAGTACCGATGATGCTGAGTAGTCGAAATCGGGTACACAAGTAAGGAGTTTGGAGCTGGAGTGGAAGACGTATTGGGCCGGAATAACCGTGAAACGAGTGAGATTGCAATTATAGGAATAACGCCTATCTCCGAAATAGCTGATGACAGTGGCACGCAATGGAAGTTGGTCTCCTAGGTATTGGTCACTAAGAGAGAGAATGACGACAAATGACAAAGGAAAAATAAACTGACAGACGTAAATGAGGCAAGAGAAGAGATAAAGCGATCATATAGAGAAATAGAATGACAGAGTATAGAATGAGAAATAGAAAGAAGAGAAGGAAATGAAAGGGAATGTGAGAAAAGGGGGAAAGTGCCGAAGACGTACGGGTACAGGTGATGAAGCGCATTGAGGCGACATGTAATGAACAGGGGACGCGAAAGGGATTGTAGATAAAGCAAGCGGATAATGAACAAGCAGCTAATGCGAGGAACGTGGAGTCCTGGGGAGACGCCACGGTCTAGCGCATGCGAATACGCGGTTTGGGCCAACATGAAGACTTACATGACATCCAATGCTCTAGTAGTGCCTTGGCTTAGCTCACTGCGCCGCAACAGGCTAGCCAGGAGCTAGCGCGCATACGACTGGTTCCTGTACTATTGGCGGGGTCGCACTCCACCTAGTGCACCCATGCATACCCAAGCTGCGATATTTGCAGGGCGCGTAAGGATCCCGCACTGCTTTGCCAGGGTGCACTCCCGAACAGTGCGACCTGTTAGGGTACTGAGGGGACCCCTGCCACTGGTCCCGACAGTAACACTGGACGGGCAATGGGATGAGGTATTGGGACCCAGTTGTGGGCAATGAGACGCGTTACCCGCACGAGATGCGTGCTAAAAATGCGCTTGTGAACCCACTGTGTTAACCGAGAAATAGTTAACTGCGCACAACGACGCTTACATTTTAAAGGGAGGAGGATGATGCAATGCAGTGTTTGACCCTGGGCGCGACGAGAAGGTCCAATCGCAACAGCCATGGCCGTCTTTCGACGACGATGACTGCGGCCCGATGCACCAGTTCTGTCGCGACCAAGTCCCGAAGATCTTGCTCGCATCGGCGGAGGGGACCTTGGCCACGCAGATGTGATATTGTACGGTCCACACACCTACTCGGGGGATTGGTCACGCAGAATTGCTCTAAGTGGCAGCTGACTGCTGCTGCTTGCCCCGGACTGTGAGGCCCTTTACCCGGCTTAGCCACCGACCTTATCAACGCGATGACCATGATAACTATATGACGCTGACTGTTAGTGTTGGTCATATGATACACGACAGGACCAAAGATTATTAACTACTTTTATGACATATTTCTGATCCGGCATTTGCTTAAAGATGGTTAATACTACATTAATGAAAGACTGGTTTAGAGATATTACAGCGAGAGAGAGTAGTGAGTAAACAAAGAGGATAGGAGGAGAATGAGATGAGGGAGGCCGGTAGACCGCTACCAGGAGATCCAACTGGAGGAAGCGTACTGCGTGGTCCGCCGGGCGCGTAGAAAGGTGTTAAGGCGGAGGAAGTGAGCTGATGATTAAGGCGTAAAGACTCACATCCTTGACGGCTTCTCCGCACCGGCTGCTCGGGACGAACCATTCACGACGACGACATGACGCAACACTGACTTGTCGTAGGGCGCGCGGGAGAGACGCAAGAACGTTAGCGTAATTTCTCACGCCGTTGGCGCCGGCATATTCGAATCGTGAGAAAGCGTCGAATCGTGGCGTTGGAGCGCAATCTCCTTCCGGCGCATATCATAACAGCATCCAGGTCGTACGTAAGTCACGACAGTACTGGAGAGAATGTGGCCGCCATTTGGTGGCCACCATGTTATCTGAATCAGATTCCAATGGGGAATCACGGACCCTAAAGGAACTTCTCTCTGAAAAAGCTCTGCCTTCATTCTCACAGAAAACGATACCTTAAAGGAATCTTTCACAGAAGGAATGATCATTTTGTCTCGTATGTAGGATTAGTATCATCAAAACTAGCGCTTACGTTCCGTTCTTTTTGCTTGCTCATGAGGCTAGGGGCCTGAGGTATCGTTTTTCTGTGGTAATGGAGGCGGAGCTTTTTTCGCGGAAGATTCCTTTAATTGTTAAAAAAAGTTCAACAGCAGAATAAAGCAAGTAACAGCCGCAGCTGGAAACGTCGATCATCGGCCCACAGACAAATTTCGATCCTATTGTAACAGATAATTTAATTACCAGCGTTCCAGAACGTATTATTGTGTTCTTTGTGATTAATGGAGGACCATCTCATTATTGAAAATTCGTGACGTTTTTTTGTTATAATAAAATAAAATAATGTATGTAATAATATGTATGTAATAATATATGAATAATGTTATAATAAAATCTCTCGACAAGTGATAAGTAGTCATATTTGAAAATATGGTTATCCTGAATGTCTTTGCCCATTTTCTGTGTATGTTGTGGAATCTACAGGAATATTTTTGAATATCCTTTGTAAAAAGTATGTGAGCCCCAGTAGATGATCTCTCCAGAGCGTCTCTGCCGTAATATTTCGCAGCGATTATGCCTGAATAAATCGACTTTGACTGAAATAATATTTGGCTACTTGATTTTGAAACCCAGAAAACGCGTCAATGGAAGCGATGCGGCACGAGCCTTACGTCCTGCGATAGAGCTCCAGAGTGTCTTTCACGAGATGGCAAACATTTGCCGATGTCCCGAAACTCAGGAAAAAAGCTCAAAGTCTGTTGGCTTGTTACCCTGAGTGACAATTATCTTCTGGAGTTGTCTGGAAACAGTCTCTGGTGCAATGCACACTAACTGATGCAGCCTCTCCACTGTTATCAGAACACAATAGCCACACTCCAAAAGCTCCTCAAAAAGAAGAGAAAAGTTGGAAAGAGGAGATTTCGTGATCTGGGTGACATCCGCCATCGGAGGCCTGCAAATTTTGCTTGAACATGTTGATTTACTGTCTGTATCTTGTTTGACTCGACTACTTTGTTAGTGATAGCAAGGAGTGGGTTACTCAAGTAAATCACACTCGCGAGCGCCACAGGCTCAGACGCGTAGAACCAGAGACTCCATCGTCCACTCCAACGCTGCAACTTGAGAGGCATCTTTCAGACTTGGTAAAACTGCAAGCGATCCGTTTGCCATCAGCTCCTACCAAATCTCACTGCTGTTGTAGTTCGATAATGTGGGCAAGTGGATGGGATCATGGGTAGAGAACACTACAAAGATCTCTTCCGAAAAGAGATCGTCAAGGAATTTCGAAGAAGGTCCACCGAAAGCCTCCAAGCCGCTCATGGGACGTTCTGTCCCAACATTTGTGTTAAGCAGATCCGGCCCCAATAGAATAGCGTCTGCTTCTGTTGCTGCTGATTCAACTCAAAGAGGGAGAGCTTCATGTTCAGGACTACTCGAAAACGGACTTCCTCCAGTTTTTTGCCATGAAAGCTCAGGACTTCTAGGCAAACAGCACCCGCAAGCCACCTGCTGAAAGGCAATATGTTGGCGATTACGATGGGGCATATGACTGTAAAGCTGACCGGGATATAGAAGAAGAGTGGATTTGAAAAAAATCGACAAATGGGCAAAGACTTTCAGGACAACCATACGTTCTGAAGAAGATATTTGAATAGTTGAATCGAGATTTCTCCAGAAATCGAGCATCCGAGTTTCTCGTTATGGGGAAACTACTGATAGTAGCGGCGATTTCCAAAAATGTACAGCAACTTTGAAAAAGCAAAAATTTAGGGTGGACCCATAATTATGAAGCGCAGTGTATTCTGAAAAAAAAACTGTTTATAAAAACACTACTAACCTGGTAGACATCTTCAAATCGCTCTCCTAATTCACCACGCCAAGTGCCGACAAATCGAATAAAAATATAATTGGTAATAACGCGAGGGTCAGTCAACCGCAGTAGTTCAGTAATTCTAAAGCAGATCAGTTGTCGGCCGTCTAACACCGATAGGTGAAAGCCACTTGCCTTTTCATATAATTTGGTTCCAAAATCAAAACATCTGGATCAGCCACAAAATATTTGTGAACAGAAAAAGGTGCTATGGAGAGGAAGTATCTGGACCAGTCAATCTGCAAACAGTCCTCAATAAACTCTTCAGAAAGGCTTGGAGCAATGCTGCTCACAATTGGCGTCAACTTCTGCATATCGCTGAGACGTCGAAGATTGTATCGCTTGAAGAAGTCTCTTCGATCCTCTTCGGCCACCATGATTTCAGCGACCTTCGTTTCAAATTCGATGATCTCATCTACATCCTTTGTGATTTTTTCATCGTTGTTCGGAATATTGGCGTACTCGTAGATCAGCTTTACCTGGATGAGTTAGCAACTTGTTTTGCCACCATTTCAGCAGTAAGGAGATGTTTTCAGAACAAAAGACCTGCCAATAATTGCACTGACTCTGCCTACTAGGAGCTGTTTATAAGCTTCAATTTTCTTGGCGTGCTTCGCTCGATCCAAATAGTAATCACGTGTGTTTCTCCCTAGACCAAGATCTGCTTGATCAAACTGCAAACAATTCAATTTTATATGACAGACGCTTGAGCAATTGTGTTAGATTGTAAAGAAAGATTTTGTCATTTCGGGCCCTCACGTTCAAAGGTGCATATCTAGTCTCAAACACAATGTTTTCGTTCGCAATAAAGAAAACTTCGCAATATACTCTTCCTCGCCAACATCAGGCGAGTTTAGTCAACTCGTTCGCTGAAAGTACTGGAATTCCAGAGGCGGTGAAGTCGGCGGTGGTCCCACAATAATTTCAGATCTCGCGGCATTTCTCCTTGAGCTGCTGTCCAGATGGTTGAAAAGTGGCAGTGAATAGGAAAGAGGTCCACTGAGTGAGGCATTTGTTGCATAGATCAACACCCCACCTAGTTCACTTTTTGACGGATTTGCTATCCTGTGCTGAGGTTCATAGCAGAGAAGAATCGCCCTTTTTTGACAGCCCTTGCTGATCAACTGTGTCAAGGTTTCGGGGAATTTTTACACCCCCCAAAAAATGCTGGACCACTGCATTAGTATCGCCTGCGCATGGAGAGCTGTACTTGCTGCATACCGCGTAGCAGGCAGCGCAACCTTCTCCTCATGCGTTTTCACCTTTGCATACTTTTGCTGACCCTAGTCGTGACCGAATAACTCAGCCGAAAGTTGTGGGTTGTTGCGAAGAATCTGCTCTACATTGCATATCACATCGGGTCGTTTCCATTGGACGAAAGAAGGTAGAAGAATGGCAGACAGCTCCACGAAACCAAGATTTTATGCGCACCCCCTTATCGGCTTTTCCGAACTTTCTGTCCTACCCTGTGTAATCTGAAATCATGAGTCGGCTATTCCCGATTTAATAGCGGCCTCTTTACAGCTCTAAGCACATTTGTTTCTATAAAATGCTTGAGCTAATTTTCGTAAACGTTCGATATCCGAGGACCACCCTCATTACCTTCGAGGCTCCAAACATCCCTACACATGCTTTTCAAACTACATGTTCACGGCAGCGTTTTTCAGAAGTGCATGGTCAATAGTTCATACCATGACCTGATTCCGCTTCTTCGGGCCCCATTCGAATAGAAGAGAATGATCGTGCAGCTCGATGAGCATGTTGTTTTCAGGGCTTCGAAAAAGCGGCAAAAAAGTAATCATTAAGCAAAACGGGGAGGATAGAGCATGAATTGCGCTTTCTTACAATATGCAACATGTAGCTGCCTGCCAAGAACTTAGTCAGGATAATGCCTTGGAACTCGAACAATCAAAACGGCAATCCCTTGCCTTACAACCAAATATTTTGTTTGATAGCTCATCCATTTATAAGCTCTGAAACTTCAATACATTGCAGTGTGGTTGCAATAGCAGCTATGTAGAAATTGACGGAACTATAAGATGACAAACATTGACAAAATTTTGGTGGCTTTGCGACTACAGCTTGGAAACATGTTATGGAAACGAAAGTGTGAGACTTGAAATATTTCTACAATAGTTTCGGAAACCTTTGCATCGCTGTTGTGTCACATTGCAGTTTCATTGCATACTATGTAGTGGCGCTGTGCTGATTTTCGTGCGAGGGTAAAGAAGAAAAGACAGGAGAGCTCAGATATGGCTCCTGTCGTATGAGTAATGGATATTTGGTCCAACCTTGACAAGCCTTCTTGAAACGTTTTTATCGTCGAGCCGGACATAGTTGCTGATAAAAACATCGAGCCCTCTCACTTCGCTGACGTGAACCATCAACGACGTCAGATCGAAGTCTTTGGCACACCATTTGTCGTCACCATCCACCATTGGCCACACGCCGTAACTCTGCAGAATTTGGCGCCAGGTTATAAACTTCCATTTCGCTAAATGACATCTCCTTTGAGTGAACGTAAGCTGATATTCTATTCATAGCTGATATTCTCCACATTGCAGGTTGTACAGAGCAGGCAAAAATTACGGTAATAAGAGCTTGTCGCTGTCAATTTTCAATATTTTAAACACCAGGAGATTTTGATACCAATTCAGTGTGAATCTTTTGAGGACCAGTGTTCCATCATTAACTTTGTCACATAGAATATATCAACCCCGGTATGAACAATACTTTAACTCCTCGAGAAACAATCACCACTCCACTCCTACGAGCTGTCAGATTGCGTTGCATTGCATGATGAGATGGAAGCTTTTCAAAACCTTCTTCGATCACCACTGCAAAGTTTAATAAGCTAGTTCTCAGCACTAATAGACCGAGACAAGGATTGTCTGTGCAACTCAAGGAATATTTGACCCTCAGTCAGTCGTTTAGTAGCTGGAATTGCTACTGAGCGCACTTTCTCGCAACGAGTTGCTGGCACACATCATATCAAAAAGAATGCCCAAATTCTAACCAATGTGTGGAAATTGAACAAAAAGCAGGGGTGTTGGGAGACGTTATCCGGATTTTGTAATGAGCTTCATTTATCGATCGTTCCCCTTGATGAGAATATTCTACTGTCGGGCCAGTCTTGAATAAGAGGAGAAATCGGATAAATGCTAGTGAAACACCAACCAGCCATCTAAAGATGATTTCTGCAGAAGTCATAGGAGCGATCAAACTCATCTCGGACCTTTGCTGTTCAAGGTATAAAACTGGGTAGTATTATTTGAACTCTTCTATATCGGATGATGCTTCGAAGCAAAAAAAAACTTCAATAGGAAACATAGGGCATCAGAGGTAGGCTGGGCGCCCCACTCAAACTGCACAGATTGTCCAGAAATTGATGCTAACAGAATGTCGTTGAATTCTTTACACCAGAGAAGTGCAACGTAGCCTACCAACTCAAGTCCAATAGAATGCTTTGTTCGAGTGTGCCGAAGACAAAGTATTGCTAAAAGCATAACAGGAACGTCGAATAGTTGAACAGTCGCTCTTGAAAGCATTGAACGTACTTGACAACACCTACATACTTACACAACAGGGTCGATGACCTTCTAGGAAGTCTTTGTTTATTCATCAACAGAAGGCGGATATTAAGAACAGCAATGTGTTCCCTGTTTGATAATTTTCCACCAATGTGATGCTGTCAGAGTATGCTGTTGATTTAGAACTTCTCGGCTACATTGCTGTTGTATTGCTGTTGTATAACTAAATGTAATTTTTGCCCTCCCTGTATAATATAGGTTTTTACGTTTAAGCCCTAAGTTTACTCTAATTTTCCGCGGCATGGGTAATGATTCGTCTATTGGTCGCAAGCGCAGAAATGGAAAGCTCGAAAATGAAGTTTGTAAAATTCGCTTTTTATTGTTCTGATTTGAAAATGAACGCTGTGCATCCACATCAAGCTTTTGAGCAGGTGTAGAGATCAGACTGCTTCGCAGACAATTGGCGATATCCCTTCCTAGAGTTTCATGTGCAAAAAAACTGCGGTTCGGACAAAAATTTCTGACAAGGAATCGCAAGTGCAACGGACGGAGCTGGCAGACCATCTTGAAGTCACCGTAAAAGGAAGAAAAACGATGGAAGATAGTTTGGTTCAGACACTAAACCAAGATTTCATCAGATTATAACTGTTCAGCAAGAAATATGACCAAAATACGTTACCACAGGTAGGAATTTAATCAATAAATCTCAGAGAACAACGCACCCTTATGGTCCGCAGTAGGTGTGTAGAGCCAATCCTATTCAGCTCTTTCTTGTCCATGCATTTGCGGTACATAGATTTCAGAGCGTTCATGGATTCCGAAGGGAAGATTTTCGGGATTCGAACGCATCTAGAGTACACCATTAAAGTTTGTTTTACAAATGTCCTAAATCTTCATTTCGGCCAGGTACACTGCGAATACTTGACGTACCTTTTTGAGCTGGATTTACCCGCTTTCTTCTCAGTTTCCTTGCTAGATTTTCCTGGATCATATCGTGACTTGGATTCTAGCTCGAACCTCTACGTTATATGCCCCACACACTGACGGTTTTGACCTTCCTTCCTTCGTGAACCACTGTTCCCTTTTACCGGTCTCCTGATGTCTCTGAGTCTGAGATATGCAAGACAAACTCCTATTCCAGTGCACTTCCCGCCCAAAAATAGCAGCTGAACTCCTTCCCTTTGCCAAGCTCTACCTGCCTTTCCTAAATTTTCTGGACTGCCTCTGAATCGAATGATGAACTTTCTCAGCAAACACTATCCACTACCACCTCCGCTCACCGGTGACTTTTGACTCCCCTTAATTCTCTGACTTCTATCCACCATTTTTCCGCTCTCTGAATGCTCGAAAGCAAATTGTGAAGACATGTCGCAAGCCCTTACCACTTCAAGACACGCACAGCCCACTGTGAGCCGGTCTCCGCCCATGCAGTGTGTTGCTGGGAACATCTATCACTGCTTCCTTACATCAATTTTTTATGCACTGAAGGCTTTCTCCCAACCGTGTTATGAGTTTTTTCATTAGACAACGCTTTTTTGAAGAACCGTGCCAGCGAAGGTGGTCTCCGCATTACCCATACACGTCACTTCCCATTTTTCCCAGTCGAGACTGTTTTAGAAGCGAATTCAAAATTTTGACGTCTGTAGCGCTCATTTCGATGCACGCCATCGATGCGTCGTTATTACCTCTCATCTGTTCCTCAACTTTATCAGAGAGCACATCGAACTGCGCATAACTGTTTTTGTGTTTTGAGATCGATCTACTAATCCATTTCCCACACGTGAACTCGAAAAAATCCACGCACGGATTCGCCTGAAATATTGGCTAATTAGTTTTTTCGCAATATCCATGATGCTCCCAAAATCTAGCTGCAATAATTTGAATAGAGATTCATCTTCATTGTGAAGAAGACTACCGCTCTGGACGAGGCTGTGTGGAATGAGCGCTTCTAACCTTTCACAGGGCAAACCATATACACATCCGAATGCCCTTAAACGCAATGGCCACGAATAATTGAGAAAGAAGTCCACTTCTTGAGTGGCGCACTATCTCCACCCGTGGTCACGACCGTGTTGCAACTCATAAATGCAAGAGGAGGGTGAAACAGCTGATATCCCAATAATGAAATTAGCACCGATACCAGTTCCCTAGTTTAGTGGCAAAATTTGGGAATGGGAAACATGTTGGGAAAGATTCGAACGCAGTGTTAACTCAAAAAGCATTGACGATATCTACAAACTGAACTATCTATTCGCCTCACTACAAGTGAAAGTCGAGAATCCGTGAAATCGTCCGAAGTTTCTGGAGCTACTTGTTCTTTAGTAGTCGCATACCTCAAGAACAAATATGACGACGAGGAAGTCCTCATAGAACGACTCATATCCAATCTTCAAGCAGCGCTCATTGTAGCCGTTCAGAATACCAGGAAGCTCTGCGCGAAGAATTGGAGTCTACTGTATCTCAACTTGAAATCAAGGGTGAACATGTCGACAACGTATTTTTGCAAAGCCAATTAATGAACAAATTTTCACCTGATATTCCCAGACATATTCTCCGACAGAAAGCTAACGAGAAGTATTATAAAACTGGATCTCATGGATTACCATAGCATTACAATCGATAGCGAAAGAATATGTCAGAGGAGAACAATAGGGTAACTTGGCAGATAAAACAATGGACCATCAGAGATACCGTGCAGGAAAAATTCAACATCTCATATGGTACAGAATACCGTAATTCTCGACAGATGATCCGCTTCTATTGTGGAAAGGGTGGGCATCAGCCACTGAACTGCAACGAGCAACATCTCTGGAACAACGGTTCCAGATTATCAACACAAAGACTATGCCGCAACTGTGATAGAAAAGGCCACATAGCTGCAAATTGCACCGGATGTTGTAATCAATGTAAGGAAAATGGACACCATTCCATTTGCGAGGATTGAACTTCTCATCAAGTAGCAAACTCCTAAAACACCTTAATCAATCACTGCTACCTCGAAGCCCTATACCAGGGTCAAGTGTGTGTTGAGAAATCCTCGACATGTCACAGGGGGAGGGGGTCGTACTGGCCCGAAGGAAGAAGAGATTGGGCTGGATTGATGCAGTAGGAATATCACCGTCGGAGGACGAACGCCAAGGATTGAGTCGATGCCAGGCCAGAGGATTTCCAATAACAATGTGATTCCGCCTACATAATATCGTTGATTCAGAGGTGTCCGCGTAGTAATTCTTAGCTACATTAGTATTTATCATAACACAAGTTAAAGAATCCGAAATTCGCACGTTTCCAGAGGCATATTTTATCTTTCAAGTAACGCCCCGAATCTGAAGCGATTTGAAGCACACGGCGCGTCCCAGAGTGGGCCCACCTGATTGCGCGCGCTTCAACTACGACTCTCTGGAGAACGAATCTTAGGAAAGTCAAGAGGATTCTGGAAGGGTTCATGTGAAATTACAGGAGGAGTCCACTATTCAACAAAAATGCAGCCTACAGCGTCAAATTTATGAACATATGTATAAATCGCGGGCACCTCAAATTCGTGAACATACGTATGAATCGCGAGCACCTCAAAACAGACGCCCATTGATTCTGGACGTTGAAGATTGCGTAGTTTCGTTGTAGAGGTAAGCATCCCTTGCGAATACTTAGACTTTACTGGTATACCGTTGTGGTAATTATGGAACCTAATATGATCCTCCAAAAGAAAGTTGTAAGCTTCTGAAAATTTTTGTCAAATTAGGACTTACTTGTGACTCAAGCTGATAGTTTACCATAATCGTTCATAATAGTAGTACTCCTTTTCTATTCATTTCGTGGGTCTTACACAATACGGATATTCGTCGTACTATTCCTTTCTAGTGCGTATTCGGAATTGGATATTTATTGCAGTTATCTGTATAAGTTCATTCAACGACGGCATGAAGTAGCGTAACATATACATAGCTCTCCAACAGTACACCTCTACGCATAGAATACGCCGCGCACACGCCGCCTAACATCGTTGCCTAGTCGATAATGGTGTCATCCTAGATCTTCTCGTTTACTTGGCCGATCGACATCCATCGCTCTACAGGGCAACCGGCACGAGCCAGCTCGCGTGTTTTCATTAGGCACCAGGAAGCAAAGCAGAACTGCTGCCACAAGGGCTTCAGTCTCAGAGCGTTCGTCAGCACACCCGTTATCAACTTCAAAGTTATTGTGGGCACCCCACGGTTTGCGCGTACGTTGCAGATTTTGCCGTTGCAATTCACACCACTGATCCGCCTGGCACGACACGGGGCATGCCAGAATAAGCATGTGTGATATATAAGATATCTCCAAATCTTTGCAACTCTTCGGAGATGCCCAAATTCCGTCATCTTAACAAGTCGGACACGCTCTCACCAATAGCGACTAGTTTATCCAGCTCCATCCTCAGTTGCGCTTTAAAGGAAGCGATTACGATAGATTTCACAGGGGTTTGGAGTGAGCGTGAGGGCCTCAGTAATACACCAATGGCGAAAAAAGCAAAGAAATCCGTCAAAAATAAGCAGAATAACACTCCTTGAGTGCCCTTTCATTTTCGACCACCGATGAGCGACGGTGAAGAACGACGTTGTTCAGACGTGTTAACCCCGATAGCCGCCATCTTGCCAACAAGCATAGTGTACTGATTGATAAGGCAATACGTGGGCAAGTTGGAAGATACAGCCGCTAGAAGGTGAATGATCATTATGAAAAGCCAACAGCAAAAGCCCATCCAGATCATCAACAGAACTAGTGGGCGTCACGTCGCATAGGGCGGAGCGTCGCACGGGTCCTGCTCAGCAACCGCGGCACCTTCCGCCGTGGGAGGGCCACACATCTCTTCCTTGGCGGCCAAGTAATTGCTCCGTGTAACGCAGGGTCTTCCCGATGGGAAAATTCCTTTGCGTAATCGCTTCCTTTGGGCAGTAAGATTACCAGTCAAAGGGTAGTTGGAGTTTGAGTCATCTCCAACTGCCCTTTGACTGACCCTGGAATAGGGTAGACCACAGGTGCACCGTGGATTAAAGGAGCTCGCCTATCTGCTGGTTGACCTATGTTGTTTGGCGATCAAATGATGTAAAGTGATGAAGAAGAAAGGTCGGAGAGAAGCCAGAAAAATTTGAGTAGTGGGCATTGAGAGCAGCAATGAGCTGACTAATCGCTCAGGTAAAATAATGTGTGTGCCATTTCGCAAAACATGTGTCACGCCTTGAGCATTTTTCTTGGAATTCTTGAATAAATTTAAAGTGAGTCACTAATTATGGGACAACCAATAGCTGTAAGCTTTGATACGGGCCCCATATTGTTTCTTCAGTGAGTCGATGGTGCGGCCGAGGTGTCCAACTCATAACTTATTCCAAACTTAGTAATTTTCAGATTCACTGGACTTTTTGCATTCCGATTCTTCAGTAGCTCTATAAAAACCTTCAAACGGAAAAGTCTAATGGATTCAAATTCGGACTGTAGCGGACCACGATTCCACCGCCAAAAAACGATCGATACTGACCTTGGAGAAGTGGATCGTAGTATTGATGTACGGCCCATCCCTGCAGAAAGATAGAGTCGTCATAATTCTGCTTCCAGGGAACCGCAGCTTTCCCTCTTCCTGCTGTCCTTTCATTAGATTTACGCAGTTTTATCGTTAAAAACTTGTGGAGACTTGTCCGAAGCAGTGCTCCAGCCCCAAACCATGAAAGTTCCAGGGAAGGAATTCTTGCAGGACTTTCAGCATTTTTTACGAATGTTATTGAAAGCTGGCAGAAAAAGTTAAGGGTGATTCCGAGGGTTTAAGGTACCTAAGGGT